GAGGTGTTAAGTTGCCATGTCAGCAGCCAGAAGCCCCGAATCCAGAACACTGGAAGTGATGCCACTTGCCTACAATTTTGAGGGTTTCGCGTGCTAATCTGGGTTCAAACCTTAAAGCTTATGGAATCGTGGCCTCATGTGCTTGGGCCAGGCGCAGAAGCTCAAACGAGACCTCGCTGCGCCGCACAACTCGGACCGGCCTTCTTTGATGACTGTGGCCGGTAGGGGGTGTGTGGTGTCCGGTTTCATGCATTGTACTTAGAGGCTTAGAGCTGCAAGACGTGAAGATGCGAGCCTTGCAAGTTTTTGAGTGTTCCTTCGTATGAATGGCTCCAGCCAGACGGCACTGAGCTGAGAGAGTATCAAGGATGTAGATGTTGGGAGTAGTACGGCCCAAATGGATTGGGAGTCCATCCAGGGGAACTTGACGAACTGTCATAGGTATGTAGGCCGGCAAGTTCTTGCGAACTCTGCACAATCCGACATGCTTTTCCCTGTGCTGCACGCCTTGACGTAGGATGAGGTTTGGGGGCGTTGGTGGGCCAACAGAAAATCACGGAATCGGGGTAAAACCCAAAGTTATCTACCGACAGTCACCCTTTCCAGCTGCAAGTCAAGGTCGACCACCTAAATCCCAGATAAAAGGATCCTAGGTCCTAGGTCATCATGGAACACAAAGTTTTGCGAAGGCTTCATTGGGGTTTGCACATCATAGGAACTTCATGATGGGGCCTCAAGGCTACCCTCTTGTGGGACATCATGCTCATTCGAGCATTTCTATACATGTCACCTTGATGAGTGGAAAGGCTGTACAAGTCCCTCACAGCATGAAAGACCCACTAAGGTTGCTGGCCCAACACGCCCTGCAGTTTGGCACGAGGGTCCAGATTCTACGGGGCGATTCCTAGATGGCCGGACTGTGGCCACCCCAAGCGCTTGGGGCGGTCCAGCGCGTGGTGGCGACAGCAGCGGTGTCCAGGAACAGCCGAGAAACCTTGTGTCACACGTTGCAGCACATCCAGGTTTTGGGGCGACAGCAGCACAGTCCAGGCGCTGCTGAATCCAGGCTACTTTACGTGCATCTGGACTATGGATCCGTGGTTTTCTGGGGTAGTCTTCTCCCTGGTGGTGACAGCAGCAAGGTTCAGGAGGAGCTGAGGAAGCCGCAGCGCCTCTGGGCTACCGTTTCCGCACCAAAAGTGGTTGACCGGAATAGGCAGCTTACTTCAAGTTGGAGACCGGTTCCAGGACAGTCTAAAGCAGCCCTGTGTCCGCTGCTTTATCAATGCCCCGTGCTCGTGGAAGGCCTCCACCCCCGAAGTTTCACCTGAGAAAGCCTGCCCTCTTCTGCGAGGACCATGCCTGCCTACTCAATGCCGTCGCAGGCAAGCTCGGGACTTTGCAAAGTTTTGATTCGTGTTTGCTGCTTTTTATTGGGGGCTGGGGCTCATATCCACATACCAAATTTGTGCTATGTGTGCAATAACAGGCGTGTCGGCAACGTCCTCCCCAAGTTCGCCTAGAGTACGGACTAAAGACACGGGCTGCCACGCACATGTCCTCCAAGTAGTCACTGCCTCCAGCCAGCTTATTGCAAGAGTCTTCCAGCAAGGGACCTCTTCTTCAAGTCCTTCCGAAGGGGGGAGCTGTTTTCAATTGCTTTCCGGTCCTGAGCTATAAGCCTTGAATCCGACTCAAGCTTAACCCCGCCACTCACGCTGCATAAATCCATGTTATTTAGAAACTGAAGCCTCGCAGCCATCGTGTGAATCCCCAAGTACCCCTCACCCAAGTGGAGCTGACCTCGTGTTTTTGTAGTGGTTGCAGGCTATACCGATGCCAACAACCAGCAGGCGTTCTGCGACAAGTGGCAGCTTGCTCAGGCTTGGCATCAGCTGATTAAAATCGAAGTCTTTTGAGCGGAGGCCCCTGCATAGGAGGTCTTTCAGCTTATCGGTTCTCATGCAACGACTACCAGATTTGCAAGGTGATGCTCGGACGGTTTAGCAGTTGTGCATACAATAGCAGACGGGCGGATCCTTTGCAAGGTTATCCAACCGCTTTTTTTTCAAAGACGCAAAGTCTGAGCTTGCAGCCTTTCTGCTGTTGCCAGGTCACAGCCGCAAGTTCCTAGATCATGCCAACCCTGAGACATGTACCTGTTTGTGCAGGCAACCATGAGGCAGATAAGAGATCAGCAGAATCGCCTCTACACAGAGTCCTGGCCTTAAAGGGAGCTTTGAATGGGGCACCTTGTTGGGGAATAGAAATTCAGCAGTGATCAGAATCACGAGCTTATGCAGGGTGATGTTGAGACTATGCAGGCCTTTCTTGCGGCTTCAATTTTAGGGCATTGCAGCGTTCACTGGCTTCGTTTTGGGTGTGTTGGATGGCCTGCACTTTTATTTTGGGGTTGATGCTAGCGGGGGTTCTAGAAGCCGCGACCCTCGTACGCGTTTGTGTAGCTGGGGTATGGCGGCGGTTGCTTTGGATGCTACAGGGCGTTGGCAATGCATTGCGTGGAAGAGTGGGCTTTTGCCGGGCAATACTCAATCAGTGCCTAGAGCGGAGTTGTATGCTATTGTGGTGCTGTCTCGCCATACTAGTGGCGCTGTGTCGTTTTCTAGCGACTCCCAACTCAATATGAAAACTTTTCGGAGACTGGTGCATGGGCGCCAGCTGAAAT